TTCAACGATGAATAAACAGCACACACTTTACTTGTTTTCAAATAATATATATTCAGAACAAGTTAAACGTATATACAATAAAGTGTTCACACCATAGAGAATATAAGCATATCGTAAACGTTATATCAGTATAAGTATAGCTCTCCTCCTCTTGTCTAAAGTCCATTTAGGCCCATTCAGTTATCACATGCTATAGTTGAGTTCCGCCCCGCAGTAAAAACAGTTTAAATAATTCCACACGTAAAGGTTCGAACCATTAACTTGAGGTTCAGAAAAATCTATATATCGTAGTATTACTATTAATAAATTATGATAGAAGCCACATAGTATTGTCTACCCACGATTCGGAGATAGGTAGGTAGTTATGTTACTGACGGCACTGGAAAGTGATTGACTTCTTTAAATCTTTAATTAATAAGCTCATATTCTAAATAAAAGAGTGGAAATATTAACTTTGATCAAAACTTAAACCTGTAATTTGTAAACCTTCTCGATTTATATTTATATAGCAGAACTTTGAAAAACTCTTACTGATCAAAAGACTATGACGAACTTACGAGTACGGAACTCTCAGGTGAAACGAAACCAAAACCATTTATATGCCTGCTATTATAATTAACCATTTACGATTGTGTTTTTAAAAACCTACATTAGCTCCGTATAGATACACACTAATTTATTAAGATATTTTCGTTTATCAATATCAAGATTTGATTCGATTTTTAAGGATCCACGATAAAGAAGAAATATTAATAAATTTGGTTTAAGACGCCACATAGCGGTGGGAATCTTGAAACTCTCGATTTTTATTTTTGTAATTAGATTATGAATACGATTACTTTAGTTGGAATTTTCAATAAGTAAAGTTAGGGCTAGAAATGTGTCTGGTTATTTGAGGAAATTCCAAGAACTTCATGTGATATCTTTCATTCTCTCCTTGTCTTCAAATTAAGAAGAAAGTATAGAACTATCTAGATTAAATCCGATTTATCTTTTGTGTTTAATTCCGTCTTAATGTCTACTGATGCGTTAGAGAAGACGAATCGTAATTAAGGCGTAGAGTAGTTTCTAAACAACGCATCGTGTTTAGAAGTAATATATATATGTGTGTGTGATATAACATTATAAGATTTACATTATCGTAACTTTTGTTACTGGCTCAATATGATATTCTAGTGAGAATATTCGATAGTAGTATTTCAACTACATATTATTTGTGTACGAAGAGGCCTTTCGGTAATACCAAACTCATTAGACAGGTTATTTACAAACTAAAGTTTTAATACCGTAAGTTAAGAAGGTCTACTGTTGCGAGAAATTGGTTTTTATCTCCTCCTTTTGTACGTTACCTATTTTTATAATTATAATAAGGCATCTTTTTCACTTGCTTAAAGATCCACGGCAACTATTTTTACAACAGTAAAAAAAAAACAAATTTGACATTTCAGATTAGCACAGAAATCCGACCGTGAGTAAACATGGTTTTTTAAAAAAATGAGGAAAGCACATCGTCTTTCAGCTTCAAACTAGAATTTTTCTGAATAAATGAAAATTGAAATCGGGCTGGATTCAAGCCCGCGAATCTGCTAACCAGACAGAAGCTTTACTCAATAAAGTTTCAGCCTGTGGTTGCCACAACTACCCATTTCTTTGTCTGGGTTAGCCCGTACACTTAAAAAACGGTTAAACCTTTCCGCAACTTATAATTGAAACTCATATTGATAATATTTTTCTGGGTCAATTTTATAATGAACAATTATATTTACGTAGATAAGGTACAGTTCCATAAAACATTAATTAAAACAAAGAGATGATCCGCAAAGTATCTAGAGTCGTCAGTGGTAATCCAGTTTTTGGATTTCCAACGAGAAGGATTAAACCCTAAACTTCTCGCACGCCAGGCACATACTCTTCTAACTGAGTTAACCAACTAGTTAATGTTAGACATTTCTATCCCACGCCACCATATTTCTCGAGGAATGTAAGAAAGAAAATATCAAATATTCCAGAGTGACGGAGATTATTGACGATAGAGTGAAAATTATTATTTTATTCCTGTAAACTCCCAGTGGAGCATAGGGCCGCAACAACACCTCGCCAACGGAAGGTGTTGTTGTAGTTACTTGTAGCAGGTTGGTTTTTACGGGGTGGAGTTGCTAGCCCCGCGCCCAACCCTCCCCCTTTCTCATCCTGGACTTGGGACCAGGCAAAGACGGAGGTTGGCATGTTTGGTGTGACGGGGATTCGAACCCTCAGATTACGAGTCGAGCGCCCTAACCACCTGGCCATGCCAGGCCTAGAGTGAAAATTATACTAGGGAGGTATTCTATGGACTATTGATTCGTTTATCAGGCTAGCACAGGATCCAAAACGTCTTCTTCCAACCAGGCAGAAGGAATGATCTTGTCACAAACTTGTTTTAAAAGTAGCAAGATTAACATTTATCACGAGAAACCTTGGTCTTATCTCTAAAAGAATGGAGAACTTGTACTGTTTGATCTCAGAATAGGTTCATAAGCGATGCTAGTGAAATACGCAAAACAAAAACATGATTTTTAACTTTTAAAAAAATATGTCTTTATTCAGGTTCTTTTAAGTCCTTTTTAATTTAACTACAGGATAAATCTAAATGTGAAATGCGGTAGGCCTTTTCTGGAGGTTTGTTTGTTTGGAATTTCGCGCAAAGCTACACG